GGCCGACGTGTCGCCGCTGGCAACGGCGGAGGCAGCGGCCGCGGCCGCGCGGGCGGCACTGCGGGCAGCCCCGCGGATCCCGGCCCGCCGACCATCGCCACGCTCCGAGAGCATGGCATGCCGGGGGCTGGGAGTGGATGCGGAGGAGTTGGGTGGGCGCTCGTACAGGCGCAGGAACTGCGGGTCGAAGTCGCAGCCTGGGGCACGGCGAGGGGGATCGGCGGGGCGGGGATGTCCAGGCAGGTCAGTCGCGGGGGAGGCGCGGGGCGGGGGGGGGGGGGGGGGGGGGGGGGGGGGGGGGGGGGAAGAGGGGACACGCACCGGGCTTGCTGCCGACGGCACAGAACTCCGGCCAGACGAAGGGGTCCCCCCGGTGGGACGGGTCCTGGGGGTCCTCCTCGATGTCGACAAACCAGTCGGCCAGCGAGGGGGTCCACGAGGCGCCGATCAGGTAGAGGTCGTACGCGGCGCGGGGGAGGAAGATGTCGCGGATGAGCTGCACCGGGTCCGGGGACCAGTTGTAACTGCCGATGTCGAGCCCGGCCCGGGCGGAGGACGAGTCGAAGGAGAGGAAGGGCGCGGCCGAGCTGGTCAGCGGCAGCTCATCGTAGAGGATCTGCACCGGGCGGCGGAGGACAATGCCCAGGTGGCGCTCGGTGGCGATGGCGGTCTGCTCATCGAAGCCGGAATGCTCGGAGGCCAGGACCGCCACGCGGATGGTCAGCAGGTCGCTGTTGCTGGCCGGCTGCTCGGGCTCGAGCAAGGGCGACGAGGCGCCCGGGCGGGAGGCGGTGGCGACCGCCAGCAGGGCGGCCAGCGGGAGGCCCAGCAGGGCGGCCGGCAGGAGGCCCGGCAGCGCCGGGCGCCGGGCGCCCGCCGGCGCTCGCCGGCACCGGGCTACCTCCCGCCGGGAGAGGGCCCGGGCGCAAGGGGAGGATCCGTTACACATCAAAGTGCCTGGTGCTCGGCATTGGCAACGGGGGCCGGTGTGCAGCGCGTGTCTCCGGGAAAGGGGAGGCGGGCGGGCGGGCGGGCGGGCGGGCGGGCGGGGGGGAAGGCAAGTGGAGGGGGGGTGCTGGTGTGCGAGTGTGGTTGTGCGTTTGCGTGGGCGGCGGTGGGGAAGGGGAGAGGGGGGAGGGGCTGGAGGAGGAGGGGGGCTGA